CCTATTTTGAAGTTTTTTTAAGGAATTATGGGTTTTTGGGACTTTTAAAGTTTTTTTTACCCCTATAATATTTTTTCAGGGTTAAAATCCCCCTCCCCCCCCCCCCCCCCCCCCCCAAAAAAAAGAAATGCAGCACTAATCTCTTTAAGGTAAATTTGTCTACAGTATTACCCAATTACGCTGATTGAGCAAACATATACCATGGATCCTCTCAAGAAAGTTGGGTTGTGTAAGTAAACTGGCTCAGAGTAGGGAGTTGTGCAATGTTCTCTAAACAAACCTCATAGAAGCATTTAGGAAGTTGGCCGGTTTTCCCGAAATTTTCCCATGAATTTTACCTGTGTTTTTCTTTGTTTTCAGGTTGTTGCCCGATATTATTCGGTGGATTTTCTTTCAGAACTTAATATTTTTAGAACATCTTCCAAAAACACTAGATTTACGCCGCCCGAAAAGACAATACACCTATATGCATAGAAGAATTACAATGGTTCAAATTTTCTGGACATATTGATAGTTTTAATTTGGCTGTACTTGTATAAGTATTGGGCTAAAGAATGATAAAAGGAATGTGTCCCTTCAAACTGATATAAAAGACACGTTTTAACTGATCGCCTTGAGAATTAATGAATCTGAAGACTGGCTTTATTAAGAAGATACGCATAGTATAGAAGGTATTATTTATGAATATACAACAAACGTGGCTTTAGTGAAGTAATGGTTTTTGCATTCTTCGTTTGCATCTTGCTAGTTACTAAACACACGAGCAAGCAGAAGGTCGGCTTTTTTGCCATTGGTGTATTAAAATAGATCATCAAAGTTAACAAACACAAAAGTTAACAGCCAGACTATGTCCCTAAAGTCATATGATTTAAATTGAATGTAACGACGTTTTTGATAAAGTCACCAAAGCAAATGCTAAATAGAGGAATAAAAGGAATAAAAACTAGAACTGTATTAATAACAGGACTGATGCAGGGCGTGTTACGACATTCGGGTACATACGAAGTTGGTCTATTGCAATTACATGGATGTAAATACTTTTCTGTATCTCTAAATGCAAATATTCAAAAGTGCCCGGAGTTGACGAACTTTTTAATAGAAATTGGGGAGAATGGTACTTTAACGGACAAGTCAAACTCAGGAATTTTATCTATACTGACATCCCATTAACCAACTTAAATTTGATACCACAATGTTAAACGAATGTAATTTTTAAATATGCATGTTACATAGACATGTTGTATATCACTGGAAAGCTCGGAATCTCAGCATTATGAATTCGAAAGAATTATTGCTATATCACTATTAGGCTACGAGATACAGCACTGCAAAGGTTCAAAATGGACCATTTTTAAACCCCTATAAAATCGAAAATGGTAGTCTGACCCCAAAGGTCAAAAGGTCATCAGATATTCAAGGTCACAAATTATCATCATAGTAAATATGGAGGTCACTAAAGATCAAGGTCATGAGATATACGCCTTCAAACTTTGAAAAAAAATATCCGGTCGTACAAAAAAGGTAAAACCGAAAATCAAAATTCTGTCCTCCACAAGTTTTAGTTAAACATTAATTCTATCATTTGACACCAAAATTGTTCAAATCGGATAATAAATAGCTCCAAAATAGCAAGTTTTGCATATTGAGGCAAACCAATATGGCGACCGATATGTTACTTCCGGTACGAAATTTTTTAGTTGTAACACTTTGTATTAGTGACACTAAGCTTATGCATATGTCATTTCTGACATAACTCAATATCACCGGAAGTGATGCCACCGGAAGTACTAATATCGAAACCGGAAGTGATAAACATTTTTTGACTATGCAGAATTATTTGCCCAAACCGACGGTCTATGCGATAAAAATTTCAAATCGATCCGTCAAAAAGCAACCGAAATAGCATTTTTCGATTAATTTCGACAAAAAAAGTATCGAACGAATTTTGGAAAATCGAATATTTTCAACTGCTATCATATGTCCTTTGTACTAAGAATTATAATAAAGGAAACCCGAGCAAAATCGGTCCATTTCCGGTTTTTGCTATCTCACTTCCGGTTGAGCAGAACATTTTTGTTTTACATTTAATACGTGAGTTAGAAAACGTCATGAAGTCCGTTTTGTCGTACCTATTTCTGGTTCCGAGAAATAAGCTCCCTAGCTGACGAAAAAAAAAATAATCGTTACGAAAACAAAGCAGGGCGTTCGAAGAACATTTATAAATGTTATATTTCAAACGAGATATGCTACAGGCAGAATGTGACGCGGGTACACTTATAGTATATAGTTAGGTATTTAGGTTGTAATAAATTGGTTAAGGTTACAGTCGAAGCTCTTTGCTTTTTATACTGAAAATAATAGTCTAATTATATAAGGACACCACAATCGTTAAAAAAATTAATTAAAAAAATTAATAAATCATTTCATGTCTTATTCAGACGAAACATGTTATCGTGTTTCTTTTTCAATACGCACGGGCTATTTTCGTGTTCTCTATGGCCACCAACAACGGTAGGCCTACGGATAAGATAAGACACAATAGGCTCGCTAGTGTTTGAAGCGTGAAACCATTTTGATTGTCAAGAATGATATTAAGTGACTTTGTTAGGGTTAAGTAGGGATGGCCATATATTTCTTGATGCCCGTTTTTTGTACCGTCGCGGTGAGTATAGCCACGGTCTTTTCGGTGTGGAGATGTTAAAGGGAGATAAGTCTACAATTGGAGATACGGACTCACTCCACTAATTCATTTGCCATCTCTTCCCATGTTAAAACACGAAATTCACCCTTCTATAACTTTTTCCAGAAATCTCGTTGAAAGCTTTCCAATATGTCGAATGAAAGCCTGACCAATTCTCAATGTCTCCTAAAAAATTCATAATATGATGACCATGAAAATTTTGAGCTACTAAAATTGAAAGTAGACTACAACCGGTTAAGGACTCACTCCACTAATTCATTTGCCATCTCTTCCCATGTTAAAACACGAAATTCAACCTTCTATAACTTTTTCCAGAAATCTCGTTGAAAGCTTTCCAATATGTCGAATGAAAGCCTGACCAATTCTCAATGTCTCCTAAAAAATTCATTATATGATGACCATGAAAATTTTGAGCTACTAAAATTGAAAGTAGACTACTCCCGGTTATACTCATCCGCTAGAGTTTGGCACTTCACAAAACGACTATTTTTAGAATTAGCCTTCCGCCTTTAGGTCTCTCATCATCTCACCAAATCTGAAAGATAATGCAATTTCAGACATAAAATTCCAAATCTAGACCAAATTTTACCCAAAAATAGGCAGGCAAAAACAACAAGTTACTAATATATTGATGCATTGTTTAAAGTTAGTTACTATTGATGAAACACTGCAGAAATACTAGCCTGCGTCGAACCCATCATTCAGTTAGCATAGGTTACGTCTATATTTTACCTTTTTATTATCTACCAGTCGTATCATATCCTAAACGCAGAACTTGTGCTACAAGTTACCTAGTTTTTTTTTCATGCCCTGTATTTTGTTTTGAGGATGTATATGAGAACATAATAGAATTCAATCTCTTCATTGATGAGAAGCCACTAAAGAGGGCGACTGTTGATCAAACACATTCAAGATCAAGGATCATTTCCCCCGTATACTGGCACCACAATATATTAAATGTATTAAAGGGATTGTAAAGAGGTTTTCTAAAATATATATATATATATATACGTAATACGTATGACTACGTAATGGGAATTTGACAATTTTACCATAACATTGCTGTCTAGGCCTATTGCTATTATTATGTACGATAAGACTAGAAAATGTCCAAATCAAGTCGAAGCTCTATATTCATCACGAGACAAGTTAATCCACAGTAAAATAGAACTAAGTGAATTGTGTATGCAATACAGATTATCTTGTCACAGACTGAACTGTCAAAATATCATAAATATTAATTTTTATGTCATAGCAAGATATTCAGCTGGGAAACAACTGATCAATACTGTCTTTGAGATCTGCATATACCGTACCTTGTCTCAATCTTTGTTAATTCTTCCTGCTAGTTTGGAGAGTACGGAATTTAACGCC